ACCCGGGGTGCAGGCGCCGCAGGCGGAGGATTAGCCTAGTGAGCCATGGCGCCAGCCTGGAAAGCTTTCTTAAAGCCAGTCCTATGAGGAGAGGGGGAAGTCACCGGCATCCCCCACAACATTTCCTGTTTTTCCCTTTTGCCCAGTGTCACTTTCTTGAATTCTAAACACAGCACCAAGATATGGCCTCAGGGGTTTTAAGAGAGCAGATTCTTCAAATGGGGGCTTTGAGATAAAGACAAGGAAAGGTGAGGATGGACCGAGTTCCCAGGAGATCCCTGACCCACGCCGTCACAGCAGGCCGCGCTGCAAACTCCAAACCCAAAACACGAATTGCCTCCTCTCAAAGTAATTTTCTAAGCATCAAACTAAGAAGCTTAGGAAGAACTAACCTCAGTCAGTGAAGATTAGAAGATGAGCAGCTTCGCAGGACGTGCTACAGAGCTCAGTGCCAGAGCTGAGCTTTCTCTGTGGGTTGGGCCGCCCCTCCTCCGCCTGGACTGAAAAGGAGCAATTTGAGGATTTCCTGCCAGCTTCACTTTAGGAGGAGATTTATGTAAGTCGGAGGATTTCCCTGGCAGCCCAATCAAGGCCACTTGAAAAGCACTGGGGGGCTTCGCCTGAAGACATTGTCATTCAGCAGATTTAGGTCAACTCCATTTAAACGGAAAGATTGGAATCTTGTTCATTGATTCCAAAGGAGATGGCCAAGTGCTCAGAAAATCATCGTCCTAACCCTGATGCAGAGCAGTAGAGACAGAGATAGGGGTGTCTTGCAAGGACCACAAGTTCCTTTGTGCCTTTAGGGCTTTCCTCTCCTGGTTCTCTCCGGTTTCCTTAAGCATGGTCATGACAATAAAGGCTAACACTCCCTGAACACCCATTTCATGACAGGTGCTGTTTTGGCCTGTACTGGGGTTAGAAAACCGGTTGTTCCCACCAAAACTGGTGCTGCGACTTGGTTCCCAATGAAACAGTAATGGCAGGTGATGGGCCTTGTAAGCCCTAACTGGTTAAGAGGGATTCACACCTTTCTCACAGGACTGGGGTAGTTACTGACTGTGAAGACAGGTTGTCACCAAGCCAGGCTGCCCCAGGTCTGGCTCTTTCACACACATGCCCACCTCTCCTTCTGCCTTCCACCATGGAATGAAGCCTCATGAGACCCAGCACGGATGTGGTACCCAATCTTAGACCTTCTAGCCTCCAAAGTAAACTTCCATTCTGTGTGAATTACCCAGGCTTGGGTATTCTGTAATAGAGACAGAAAAGGGACTAAGAAAACCTCACATGTACTTTTTCTTGTATCTTTACAACCACTTCAAATAGTAAGCAGTATGGTTATGCCCATTTTACAACATATGGGAAAATAAGATATAAAAAGGTTAAAAACCATACCCTTCCTCAAGGGTTCACAGCTATTAAGAGAAACAGAAAAGGGATTCATCCAGAGCCTCAGCACCGGACTACAATGTGTGTTTATAATGGTGTCTTTGAGCTCTCATTCTTCGTATCTATGCCTACAGGATCAAGGTGCTCTCGGTATGTGGGCTCACCTCTCCAGCACTTCCTCCAGGCTTTGTCAGTGTTCTGCCTGCCTAAACTGCCTTCCTATCTTTAACAATTTTACTTTTGTTGTTTTAGAAAGAAACTGTACTGTTACTAATAAAATGTAGTGCTTGTCAAGTGCACGCAGTGTGCCGGGGCTGATCTGCACAACTTACATGAATTCACTCCCATATTCCTCGACTTGCCTCCAGGATGCTGTAATGAATCCATCTGCAGAGAGGGAAGCACAGAGGTGACAGCTGGCGAATTGGGAAGCCAGGTTTTAGACTCAGGTGTTTCATGCCTGAATACTGAACTTCCTGTCTCTTTTCCACTGTATCACCACTCGCTCTACCTCCCATGCTCAAAGTTTTGGCGCTAGGAAGTGGCTTTTCCTTCATTCTCACTCATCAGTTGTCAAATAATTTCTCTACTTCTCCTAATGTCTTCTCGCATGTACCAGGTCCCTTTCCCTATACTCTGTCTATCGGGGAGCATTTGCTCACTGTCCTATATGATCTAAGTCAGTTGCCTCCAACCTGGTCATCTTCCCTTCAATCTCTCTCTCGGGCCTGAGTCCATCCTAAATATGGCTAC